GGGGGCATCCGGCGTACAAGACGACCCCCGATTTTTGGGGGATGTTTTTTAACATCAGAGGTCGTCTTGTACGCCGGAATATACGGTAGCTTTTTCCTAAATAATCGTGTAGTGTAGATGCAGCTAGAGTTCTGCAGGGAAGCTGCTGTTGAGTGTCCCTAGTGTCCACCAGGTCTGTCCTTAAAGGAGTGTCCAGGGCAACCCCTTCCCCGCCACAGGCCCCTTCCCCTGCCTCTGCTCTACATCTAATCCATCCCTTCCCCTGCTCTGCCTCCTTCCTGCCCCAAGTTCTCTTCCTTAAGTGACACAAGCCATTACTGGGGGGCCTGGTGTGAGGCAGTAGGATGAAATGTCTCTCCTGCACTCATCATGATGGCAGCAGCCGGAGAGATCCAACAGCCTGCTCTGCTCTACCTCACCAGCCTGCTGCACTTCACTTCGCTGGTAGCACCACAAAGACTCAAGCCTGCTTTCTGCAACCCTCACTCAAAAATTCACTTCAAAGCTTCAAAAAAAATCAAAGCCACTTACTGAGGCATCCTCTGCTGTTTGCGTTTCCCCAGCCTGTGACCTCTGCAACTGTCTAGCGGCCTCTTCTGAGACAGAAAATAGTTCCTGATTGCAAGTATCTGTGGATGCTGATTCATCCTCTGTCTCTGGATCCCCCTTGGCACTTCAGTGCACAATTTCCTCCTCCTGGCTCACTCCACTCTGGAATGGCCTCTGAGGCTCTGAAGTATCCACAGGAGTCTTTGGGGTGGAGTTTGGGGTCACCTCCAAATATGTCATTCAACTCTGTTTAAAGCCAGCAGGTCATGAGCACAACACTGGAGTGGAGGTTTGCCTCCTGTACCTTTGGTAGGTGTTTCACAGCTCCTACACTTTGACCCTGCACTGCAGTGCGTCTTGGTCATGGTCCCTTTCAGTCATGCATCTTGACATTAGCCCACAGGTGTCATAATTCCAATGACTGGAGCACAGCTGTGATTGGACAGTCTCCTTTCACCAAACACTGAGGAGGTCCAGCACCTCAGCATTGCTCCAGGCAGGAGATTGCCTGGTATGTGGCACAGGCATGGTCACCTTGAAAGATATGCTGAGAGCACTCCACATGTCAATGAGAAAACTGGAAAGGGACTTTCAGAATTCTCAAGTAATGAAAAGGGAAAGTGTGACAGGGTGAGGCAACTGCAGTGACCTGGTGTGCCGGGAGGGCTGGGATGAGAGACACCCTGGAGGGGATGTGGCTGGGGAGGAAACCTTAGTCCCAGCCAGGGGATTGGCTGGGGTCGGGCCGAACACCGGCTCAGGTGCAGAAAGCACGAACTGGAAAGGGACTTTCAGAATTCTCAAGTAATGAAAAGGGAAAGTGTGACAGGGTGAGGCAACTGCAGTGACCTGGTGTGCCGGGAGGGCTGGGATGAGAGACACCCTGGAGGGGATGTGGCTGGGGAGGAAACCTTAGTCCCAGCCAGGGGATTGGCTGGGGTCGGGCCGAACACCGGCTCAGGTGCAGAAAGCACGACATGCACCGGGGCAAGGGGTGCCGGCTGGGGACAACACGCTTGTGGGCGCGGCGGTGGGGGGGGGGGGGGGGAGATAGGCCCCGGATGGGATCAGGAAGGATAAAAAGAGCCGAGGATCTGCCAAGAGGGAGGACGGGCCGCAGCATGCTGAGGAAGATGTGGCCGCAACGGTTGAGGTTTTAGAAGGGAACATCCTTTGCACCGAGAGGGGAGGGAAAAGCTAAAAAGCCCGAAACGTGGAGGTAGGAAGTAGCCCAGGGCTGATGTGTTTAGGGGCAGCTCCCCCGTCAGCCAGGCCAGGGAGAAACTATCCTTGCCTTAGGGCGCTGGGCTGGGACGCGGGAGAGTAGGTGGGCCCGGGTCCCCTTGCCCCACCATTTGCCGTCAGGTGTCTCTGATCTGGAAACTGTAGTTGCTAATAGAAACTTGATTTATTTGGTGTATACGGTGCCGAAGGGGTATCAATGGGGATGAGTAAATCACAATAAAAGGGGCATTGATAGAGCCTCCAAAAGTGGTCTGCGTACAGCAGGTCTAAGGATTGGTCACCTGAGGGCAAGGCAGTAGAGTTCAAATCAATGGCCAGAGAGATGAGAACAGGCATTGTGGGACAGATACCACAGGCCAGTCGCAGGGCTGTAGTACACTATGGCATCCATGCTGGTACCCCAGCGCTGTAAATACTCCATAGAAAGCTCTGTGCCTGTCATCACATAAATGTGGAGTTAGTGCACACTAAGTGCCTTGCCAATGATTTACCGCAGAGAACCTTGCCAACATAGACAAGGCCTGAGACCTGCTTTAATAGATATCTGCATGATTCTTCCTGGGCAAGGTTAGGGGAACCCTTAAATAGCATAGAACAGCTGTGGTGCTTCCTAATCTACCCACGTCCTGCCTGACAGTGCAAGGAAAAAGGAGAAGTGGGCTGATGGGGTTTCCTTATGCTTGGCCAATTCCCAACACTTCAAAAGGAAACCTGGGGGGGCCACTAACAGCAATCATCCTTCCGGCCTAATTTATACCAGGGATCAGGACTCGGGAACTTGAAGGTATTTTAAAGCCATCTTTGTCCTCTGTGCATGAGCAGAATGTGAACTACCAGCTGGTGGGAGGCTAGTCCCCAGCTTTGCCCCTTCTGCCTGAGTTCCCCACCCTTTCCATACTCCCCACCAGAGGACCCCCAGCTGCCAGCCCCAGTTCTGCATTGCTCCCAGACACTCCCCATGAGCAATGGGAGAGAGGGCAGCACAGCAGCAGCCTTTCCACTCCCGTAGCGCCATGAAGGCAGGTGGTACGGCCCACGTCGGGGCCACCCCACAGAAGCCTCAATGAATGGGAAGCAGGTGGGGAACGGGCTCGTGGTGGACCATAGGTGGGGATATACCTGGCTATTTGTAGAGGCATAGCCTCCTTCAGCCTTTGATACCTGCTGACCATATCCCTGTCTCCTTCAGCTGTACATTGAGGTTATGTCTAGACTGGCAAGTTTTTCCGCAAAAGCAGCTGATTTTGCGGAAAAATTTGCCAGCTGTCTACACTGGCTGCTTGAATTTCCGCAAAAGCGCTGACGATCTCATGTAAGATTGTCAGTGCTTTTGCAGAAATACTATGCTGCTCCCGTTCGGGCAAAAGTCTTTTTCCAAAAAACTTTGTGCAAAAGGGCCAGTGTAGACAGCAGAGATTTGTTTTCCGCAAAAAAGCCCCGATCGCGAAAATGGCAATCGGGGCTTTTTTGCGGAAAAGCGCGACTAGATTGGCCACGGATGCTTTTCCGCAGCACTCACCACTTGCTTTCCTGCTGGAAGGCGAGTGGTGGGTTCCGGCTCAGCAGAATGCCACACAGCCTGGTGGCCTCATGTGCTGTAGCTACAGCCAGGCCATAGTGAGGCTGCCCCTGCTGGGGAAGTCTCACTACTGTCCCAGTTCCATTTCTGTGGCAGCCACGTGGCCTGTTTAGCGGGGCCGCATGGTGGAGCTGGGCTGATCTGGGGACCGGACTGCTTAGGGGGAGAGAGAGAGCCACATGGTGGAGTGGGGTTGCTCAGGGGGTGAGTCACATGGCGGAGCAAGGCTATTCTGGGCCTGGGGCTGCTGGGGCAAGCTGCCTGTGGGGTGGCTTGGGCCCTGTCAGGTCCAGAGTTGAGTTGGAGTTGCATGTCGAGTGGCAGTGGCCCTGGCCAGCTCCAAGTCCAGTGAAGGTGTTGTGTCAGCTATAGCAGGGCATGCTACACTCTCAGGGCTGGGAAGGCACCAGCCTGCAGGTCCGGCTCAGGAGTGGAATGGGGTGAGGGGTGTAGGGCTGGGAAAGGCGGGCACTGACCCACTGTGCTGGGGCTCACAGGGAACTTTCCTTCATGAATATTACTGATGTTAAATGAAGGAAATGCCACATTCAGATTTAGATCACAGACCTGCTTTGCTGGTGATTGTTTTTAATAAGACTTACATGTTTACAAACAGCAAAGTTTTAAAAGCAGAATAGTATCAAGTCTATTTATTACTCAAGACACCTAAAAGCAATCTTTAAATTGTATAGAAAGAATGGCCATTCAAAAGCGCATTGTTTCAAGGAGAAAGAGAGAGGGTATGATTTAGTGGTTGGAACAAGATACTGGAAATCATGTGTGTGCCCCCCCCCCTCTCTGTGTGTGTGTGTGTGTGTGTGTGTGTGTGTGTGTGTGTGTGTGTGTGTGTGTGTGTGTGTGTGATATTTGTTAGTAACTGGTGGGTGCAATGGTGGCACACATCCAAACAAGCATGTGACCTCAATATTGGTGCACAAGATGAAACTCACTCCACTTGTGGATGGAAAATCTTAGAGGGAACACTGGTAATGATTCCATATTTAACACTGTAAATAGTTTTTTATAATATGTTTGATTTTGACACCACTAGCTCCAACTTCCACAAAATATATCCTTTCTACCTGACATTTTTCATGTGTGGTGTCCTGCCAAAGGTTAATTCATTTGGAGAGACTGAGATGAATTGACCCAGTCTCTTAATACAGGAGTTTGAAAAATGAGAGGGTTTTAACTTTTGGAATAGTCTTCTAATAGTTGGAACATCATATCTCAAAAATGCTTTGGCTTAGAAACACTACATTTGTTTAATTCATTCTTCTTCAGTGAGAATTAGTGTCTGAGTATTTTATGGAGTTTCAGTTATTGTTTTTGATAAATTGATTGTGGAGTTTTGAACTATATAAAGTCTATATAAAACTATACATAAAATTATATAAAGTTAGTAGGCTCACTGACATAGTTTAGAAATTCCCAGGGACTAAGAGCCACAAGGGCTCAGAGCTAACCTGGGATAGATAGAAAGAAGTCCACAATTACTCTGCTTTATAAATTTCTCAAAGTCTGTAGCCAAAGCAGACCTATTGACAGGCTAATTATACTATAAACTCCTGATAGTTAGAGATATAACTGGCTGAATTTGAAGAAGTTCAGAAGTGTATGGGACGAGTCTGCACATTTCTTTAAATCTGGAGCTGAACATACGAGGTTGAAAGACTTTAACATCAAAACAACTTGAAAGAATCTTTGGTTTTTAGGGTTCCCACAAAACAATAACCCAGGGATAAAATACCTGCTATATTCTGATGTCCCGTTCATTTTATTATCCCCACAAGACAGCCTTAAAAAAAAAATCTTCATTTGTAAGAAACATTCAGCAACTGACAAGCCACACAAGTCAATCTGCAAAAGACCAAAATCATAATATTGAAGAAAAAGCTGTTAAACTCTATTAGGGTACGTCTACACTACAACGTTAATTCGAACTAACTTAGTTCGAATTAGTTAATTCGAACTAAGCTAATTCGAACTAACGGAGCGCTAGTGTAGCGCCTATGAAAGTTAGTTCGAACTAACGTCCGTTAGTTCGAACTAACTTTCATAGGCGCTACACTAGCGCTCCGTTAGTTCGAATTTAATTCGAACTAACGGAGCGCTAGTGTAGCGCCTATGAAAGTTAGTTCGAACTAACGTCCGTTAGTTCGAACTAACTTTCATAGGCGCTACACTAGCGCTCCGTTAGTTCGAATTTAATTCGAACTAACGGAGCGCTAGTGTAGCGCCTATGAAAGTTAGTTCGAACTAACGTCCGTTAGTTCGAACTAACTTTCATAGGCGCTACACTAGCGCTCCGTTAGTTCGAATTTAATTCGAACTAACGGAGCGCTAGTGTAGCGCCTATGAAAGTTAGTTCGAACTAACGTCCGTTAGTTCGAACTAACTTTCATAGGCGCTACACTAGCGCTCCGTTAGTTCGAATTTAATTCGAACTAACGGAGCGCTAGTGTAGCGCCTATGAAAGTTAGTTCGAACTAACGTCCGTTAGTTCGAACTAACTTTCATAGGCGCTACACTAGCGCTCCGTTAGTTCGAATTTAATTCGAACTAACGGAGCGCTAGTGTAGCGCCTATGAAAGTTAGTTCGAACTAACGTCCGTTAGTTCGAACTAACTTTCATAGGCGCTACACTAGCGCTCCGTTAGTTCGAATTTAATTCGAACTAACGGAGCGCTAGTGTAGCGCCTATGAAAGTTAGTTCGAACTAACGTCCGTTAGTTCGAACTAACTTTCATAGGCGCTACACTAGCGCTCCGTTAGTTCGAATTTAATTCGAACTAACGGA